GTAGTCGTCAGCGTCGTTGTCGGCGTGGGCGTCGAGCGTAGGCGTCGGTGTAGGTGTCGGCGTGGGTGTCGGCGTGGGCGTGGTGTCGGCGTGGGCGTCGGTGTTGATGTTGGCGTGGGCGTCGGAGCGGGCGTCGGAGCGGGCGTCGGAGCGGGCGTCGGAGCCGGTGTCAGAGCGGGCGTCTGAGCGGGCGTCGGAGCGGGTGTCGGAGCGGGCGTCGGAGCCGGTGTCAGAGCAGGTGTCGGAGCAGGTGTCGGAGCGGGCGTCGGAGCGGGCGTCGGAGCCGGTGTCGGAGCGGGCGTCGGTGTCGGCGCTATCGTAGCTAGAGAACGCGTTGCAAGGGTTTTCGTGGGCAGGAGTGGCCGCGTTGTTGGTTGTCGAGTTGTTGTGTACTTGCGTGGCGCGGCGGGGACCAAGTGAGGGAATACGGGCTTCGGAAAGTTCGCGGCTTTGGCGGTGCCGTTGGCGTTGAAGTAGCCAAAGTGCTTCTCGAGCGGTTCCGGCTGTGTCGTGTCGTCGTCACGCAAGTTGTAGAAGGAGTACCAGAAGATGTCGCCACCGCCCCGAGACGGCGTCCACTGCATGAGCGCGTTGTAGTACTTGATCGCGTTGTCCAGGCTCGGGACGACGCGGGGCGCCACACTCGGCGACGGGCCGCCGGTCGAGTAGCCGGTCTCCGTGAGGCGTAGCTTGTGCGCGGGGTAGATCGCTAGCATTTGGTCCCAGAGCGCCGTCACGAGCGCCGTCGGGTCAAGTGCGTCGTAACCGTTGTCAAAGAACGGGTAGATGTTGACGCCGATGACGTCGCAAGCGTCGGCGAGGGCAAGCATCTCCGTGCGGATCGCAGGGTTGAGCCACTCGGTGATGCGCTGGACGGTGCCGACGGGCACGACGATCGAGCCGTTGGTGCGGTTGGCGACCTCGGACTTGATGTGCTGCACCTGGTTGGCAATGTACGCGGCCGCAAAGTCACCGTACGGAGCCACGTTTTCGTTGCCGACCAAGACGGCGCGGACGGTCTCGGGGTAAGCCACGGCGCCGTCGATGGCAGCGGCCACCTGGAGCCAGTACCACGGCTCGTGGACCATGTAGACGCCCAGGTACACCGGGACGCCGTTGGCGGCGGCAATCGGCGCCACGTCCACCGAGTGGTACTTGGAGTAGTACGTGCGGACCGTGTGCACGTACGGCTTCATCTGGGCAAAGTCCTCGTTAATGCCGGCGGCGAGCGCGGGCGCGTCCAAAGCTTCCCACGGCTGGAGCGGGTACGAGTCGAGGTGGAAAGGCGAATAGCACGCACTTGGGCGAATCGGCGTCGCCGACGCAACGGCGAGACCAGCAAGAAGAAATAGTCGAGCGAGCATGCGACCAGAAATTGCAGAGTGATCTCGAGCCACTGGCGACCGCAAGTCCACTCAGAGACACTTGTGTCATTCGTCCTGTCTCGGGCAGGTGGTGGGCGTCTTGACCCTTAACTAGACTTCGGCCGGCGCTACTGCTGGACTAGGCACCCATGTACTCTTCACAATTGATGTCTGCGATCAACGCCTGTCCAGATGGCCACCCAACATGTCTTGGCATATATTTTTGCTCGTAACGAGGCGCATGCGCGCACGTGGTCTGCGGTGCCGAGTTGCAGTGGCACTGGATACCAAGAGTACCCGTGTGGAAACAAACGATAAGTCGGTAGAGTGCATTTAGTTATTGCACAGGTGTCGTGCACTGCAAGGGGACCCTTGGTTGCTGCAACTCTCGCAGCTTGTCCTTCTCTCGCAACGCTAATACGGCACGACCGAAATG